GTTGGGGGCAATATGCTGACTCTCTGTAAACCGCTTAGAGAGGCCTGAAAGGCCTATGAAGCGGTATATAAGTCTACTGCTATTGCTATTGTCTCAACAATGTTTGGTCCTTCAACCTCACAGGGAAGTCAGGATCATTCTGGATTCCAACCAAGATGGACTTAAGACTGCTGCAAGGCCTTCATGGAGATCACCTCTGGGATTATCTCCACCTCAACATTCTCTCTTCTGGGATCTGGGAACTCATCCTGTAGTAAACAGAGGTATAATCATGCACTGTGAATTGCCTTCGGCCGTGTTAAGCTTCTAATGGTTTCGGCAAGTGGGACCCTTCATGCTCTTTCGCTGCTTCGTTTGGGTGTCTGATACATCCCATTCCTCACCTGTTCCATCCAGGCTTTGTACTCTTCTTCCCCCTCTGGGATTGGTTGTATCCCCGAAAAAGCATGAAGTTTATTGTACCCAGACTCCGCCCAGTGGTTACCAGCCTGGGCAGACCATGTCCTTGCTGCCCTTATGGTAACCAAAGTAGGTGTCTCCTCTTGGGTAACAATGCCTTCGCTAAATGTGTGACCTGTGGGGTCAGGTGTAACACCCTTGCCCTGATGTCCTTAATCAATTGAAGGCTGTCACACACACCCCAAAGCACTCGGGGAGCCTTCTTTTCCCCTCCAATAACATAAAAGAGTGGGAAGAGCCCCAGTTTGTCTTCATGTCTACTTCTGATCTGGGCAGGGGTAGGATTCAGCCGGACTGGTAGCTCCGACAATCAGCTCAGGAGCGAACCGGTTCGCTCCGACAATCAGGAGAGCCCACTTGCCCGCCCCTGCACTTTACTTACCTACATCCTCTCAATTGATTTGCGCGGCAGAGCGGATTGCTGTGCCTCAGCTGTGTTACTCCCCAGAAGTAATGTGGAAGGTAAGTTTTGTTAAAACTGTGCATGTACGCAGAGCTCGTGCTAGGCGCAGGCGGAGCACATGCGTACAAAGCACGCAATCACTGAACCAGTTGTTAAACTGGTAGGATCTTACCAGTGGATCTGGGACATGGACCCTCACTGCCTGTAGAATTCACTCTTCTGGCCAAGTATCCCCAGAGATGTTGATTGCTACACTTGTCTCTATCTCACTATTCTGTTCCTCACACCACATAGTGATGGCGGTGGAGTCCATTGCTTTTTGCTCACTTGGCTCATGTCCCTGGATGGGATCACACACATATACCACATGGAGAAAGGCTAGAAGGAGATTCCGGACAACCCCACCCCCCTTTGTAGCACCACCCCTCAAAAGGCCGCAAAAGTCCCACTCCTTCTGTCCCTTTCTCCCAAGTAACTTATTGCTTTTATGCTCTCAGTCACTGATAGAATGTCCCAGGGTCTCTGGCTCTGATCGCTCACCCAGGCACTTCCACTTGCCCAGCTCAGTTCATCTCCACTGTCCTTCGGCGTGTCAACTTGCCTCTGCTTCCTTCCGGTGTGTCTGGTGCACCCTTTGGTCACTGGCCCGTTTTCTCGCCTGGATCGGCTCTCCTCTGCAGCCTCCTGGGGTGTCTGGTCACTGGATCACTCTCTCGCCTGGATTGGCTCTCCTCTGCAGCCTCCTGGGGTGTCTGGTCACTGGATCACTCTCTCGCCTGGATCGGCTCTCCTCTGCAGCCTCCTGGGTTGTCTGGTCACTGGATCACTCTCTCGCATGGATCGGCTCTCCTCTGCAGCCTCCTGGGGTGTCTGGTCACTGGATCACTCTCTCGCATGGATTGGCTCTCCTCTGTAGCCTCCTAGTGCATCTGGTGACAATTATGGTTGCTGGCTCCTCTCACCCTTTCTCTCTGGGTTGGCTTCGCTTCTTCTCTCTTGTTCAGCTTTGTGCTCTCTCTCTGTCTCTCTCTGTCTCTCTCTG